ATTAAAGCTCTCTGATTGATTCAAATAAAACATATATAACCAATCGGAGAGCTTTAATACAATCATCCAATCAGGAGACAGAGTCAGGATCTGACCCTAATTCAAACTGATTGGCGCGGCTCGATGAATCAATTGCCGCTTTCAACCAGAGGTTTATTTTAAACCTCTGGAACCAGGGTAGTTATTAAAGTGCTGAAGTGCACAATAAGGGGGGGCGGAAGTGCCCTTTTAGTTGTAAAACTGAATACGTGAAATCACATTTCCAACGATGCTTTTTGTAGGAAAATCACGAGATTCAGGTAATTTATAGTTTATATTTATAAAAATTTTGGAAAATTTTTGGAATTTAGAAAAATATTTTGAAGAAATGGCGAAAATTTAAGATATCCGGAAAAATTTTTGGCTTCACGGAAAATTTTTGTATGTCCGGAAAAAATTTTTGACCCCTAAAATGGTACACTGACCGAAATTTTTTTGGCGACGGGGCGGGGGGGGGGGTGTGGGGGGGTGGTCTCCAAAAAATTTTGCAGTGAAAAAAAATTTTTCAGTAAAGGTGCCCTTGGTGTGCGTCCGCCCCCCTTTGCCCTATTATCGTTCCGGCGTCCCTGACTGTAATCCTTCCACCACGGGGGGGAAGAGACAGTCTGTGCGCAGACTAGTATATCGTAGACATGGTGCGTTTTGATACGAATATGCAAAACACCAGCTATATCCTTCCCATGCACTAGGCTACTAGCTATGTTTCTCTTACAGATGTTATTATGTGGCTACTCACTGTGTTTGATCTGAGACACAGGTCAATAGGTCATGTTTTTAATTAAACCAAAACACTAAACCGACATGTTCGGTACTGAAATCATGTGAAATGCCTCTCCTCTCACGAGGCATTATTTCTTAACACACGTTATAATGCAATTACATTACGAACGTAATTGTAAATACAATTTTTTTTGCTAAAATTCAGAATTAAAAAGGTAGAAATATAAAATGATGTGTTCTTCGTTTGAGGGGTTTCGAAATGGTATATCAAATTTGTTATGCCGAGTTGTAGTTTTAACAGAAACATATATTAAAAATGCGGTGTAACTAGACTTTTGCAAAGTTCATTCAATTTTGCAAACTTGTTCCCGTATACCAGTTCTACTGCCTGGCACGAGACAGGATCTTGCTATATATAATAAATCGCAATATCACATTTATATCCTTTTGAACACTCGAAATAAATTTGATATTTCCGCACATTCGTGTACTATTGTCCATATCAATATATTTCCGAGTGCTTTATGGCAAATATTGGTTGGCTATAGTGGTTGCAAGGGAAACTTGAAAGTCTTTTGCTTCTTGTCTTTATACAATCTCAGACATAAATTTGAGCAGCGAGTTCGTGAGTGAGGTCTGTGCAATGAGATTATAAGATTAATTACGGGAATATAATCTTGTTGGAGTTGGTATATATGTAAACATTGACCAAACGTGTTTTTATTGAACTAAATTTCGATATTTAGGGTATAAATCATGTTGACAAATACTCGTACATGCAAATGAGCTTGGGCAGCTGTGTTTTGAGCAGGAAGTTAAGTGCATGAAGCATTATTAATTCTCGGTAAAGAAATTCCAGTTTCCAGAATGCACTGTCGTGTGCCTTGTGTGCATGTTACCTTCACCTGAAAGCTAGGCTATTTCCTCACCTGAATAACATCCTCTGTAACATTAGTTCTAAACTTTGCTTGCTGTTGTAGCATAAAATCTTTTTCGTGGATATTAGAAGAATATGGTTTCCACTCCCTTGTGCGAACAAAGTACATAAACGTTGTGTACAACTTCCTGTTTAGCGACAGACTCTCAACTTTCCGACTTGGGTTAAACTTCAAATATGGACCAATCTCTTGCCAAGGTTTCTCCTGTAGTTTATCGATTAAAGTGGCGTCTTGTGTGCCGTGGAAAAAATACACTTGAAACGTATCAAATGGACTGCTCTCGTATTGAAACCACATATACATGGCCGTCTCGTGCTGCTTGTCAAACAGATTTTCCGAATATGCCCCGAGGTCTGACCTGTTGTACAAGTTTACTACGGTACATACTAGCTTATTTTCCCACACGACAAACACAGGTTGTGCCTTGCAGCTGACGCGAATATTCCTGTGCGTGGTGTAGTCGTACGTGAAGGTATAGCACCAATTTTGTATCCGTGGAATATTCTTAATATTTGTGGAGTTTAAAGGTATCGGTGGTTCTCCTTGATCCCTCCCATTGCATACAGCAGCTGTAGGGAAGGCTTGTTTTGATCGCGGCAAGTACTTGGACGTCCATATTTTGTGTCGATAACTGTCGACGCAACTTTCGATGAGAAATCCAAAAGCGGTTATAGTAAGAACCGAAAGGAGGACCACGGCAACCGTAGAATATTTCGGACAACGCATCTTTACCATGCACGTCTCTTCTCAGACTGCCTGATAATACGGATCTTTCTCGTTGAGGGAGCCAGGTCTCACCCGTTTCATCTGTTGTTAAGAAATATAACAACTTTTTACTAACTTAATAAAATTGACATCACTAGGCTACAATTAAAGCACAGGTAGGAACACAACGCAACGCAACAAGTTTTCCAAGAAATGAGTAACATTTCTGAGTAAATTATACTGCACAAGGGCTCTAATTTCTGCGAAATTAAAATGCAAGAAACTCGACAAATTGTCGTAGTCGTCGTAATATGTAGTATAGTTTGTTATCGTTTGGTTGTCACTTCTGCAGGGATAGTAACGTTAGCTCCCAATAGTTAAATTAACGTAACTCTAGTTTAACCCCAGCAACCAAACGAATCCGGGACAACCATTGACATATGAGGCGGAATATGAGGACAACATGCACTAACACGGTGGCAACTGCAGCGGTTTGTATATAAAATACAATAAACCAATTCGACATATTTTCATATCCAATCATGCAACCACACTTCGTTCAATCAGAAATTAAATGACACACTAACAAACTAAGGCAAAGTTATATAATTCGAGTCTTACCGATAAATTATAACCGATATAATAAGTGAATTGTTCCCTTCGCCTTGGTTACACACTGGATTTCCTTCAAGTTCAATGTTCCCTCGAATGTTCCAACACACTTGATGACGGCCATGTAGTTCAATGACTCAAACTGATAACTCGCAACTACATATGCACAATAGAGAAGGTAGGGGATTTTTTAAATCATTTACATAAGCAACCACTCATGCAGACACGGGGAAGTCCAAAAAGATGCACCTGCTGTTTGAAAAATAAAAATCGGGTCGAATATATATATATATATATATATATATATATATATATATATATATATATATATATATATATATATATATATATATATATATATATATATATATATATATATATATAGGTTTCTCCGTAGGCAGTCCAGAAAATGTGTAAAAATGCATTAAACGCTTAAAAATACGTATAAAGTTCGTCTCAATTTGCTATGAAGCGATTTATTTGTGTAGCTCATTATACATGCAGATTCCGACTATATGAAACTACAATGACGTAAACATCATTCTCGTGCCCAGAGCAATGCCTGTGCGCGGGCTAGGATGGCATTGGCAATGCCATCCTAGCCCGCGCGCACAGGCAATGCTCTGGGTACGAGATTGCGCAAACATCGGAATCTGCATGTATAATGAGCTATACAAATAAATCGCTTGATATCAATAGCAAATTGAGACGAACTTTATACGTATTTTTAAGCGTTTAATGCATTTTTACACATTTTGCTGGGCTGCCTATGGTTCTCATGCATGTGTCAAAATGTCATTTGTTTTCCGACCTCTATAGAGAAACAAAATTCATTCGGAAAACATAAACAATCTTCAAATTTCGTTTTCAGATTCTTTAAAGCCGAAAAACGGATCGATTTTGAAACAAATTTTGTTTTCTATTTTCCATATAAGAAATTAAGAATGGCACAAACTTCGTTCGGAATGTTTTCGGGTGTAGGAAGTTGAACATCGATTCCACCCCCCCCCCCCGATTATTTATTTCATTGTAATAATATGGCTGCTCTGGAAGAACACGAAGGTTTTATCAGAGAATTTTTATCGAAGGAGGGAAACATTAATCAGGGCCGCCTAGAGGTTGGCGGGGGCCCGGGGCAAATTTTTTTGGGGGGGCCCCCTATCTAAAAACTTTTTCCGGAAAAATTTTTTTCCGGAGAACCTCCCTCTCCCGTCGCCAAAAAATTTTCGGTCAGTGTACCATTTTCGGGGCAAAACAATTTTTTCCGAAGTAAAACATTTTTCCGGACGAGTACGTTCCAATTGCTTTGCAAGGACTTTATCTCATTTTTTATGCCAAATTTCGGTACTTAGCCCAAGAAAACAGATATCTTGTCCTTTGCGCGGAAATATTTAACACACAAAAAGACTGGGGCCCAACAAAATTTTTAAAAGGACCCCAACCTGCCAGCCCAGAACCCAATTGCGCCTACCCTCTGCGGCCCTGACATTAATACACCATAGAAGATTTAGCGGATGTTTTGCAATCAACGTATAGAGCAGCGAGGTTTCAGTTAAAGGAGTGGTCATTATTTATGGGTTGGGAAATGGGAAGGGGGGGGGGACAAACGAAGTTTTACCCTTATAAATAGGGGGGGGTCAAAAAAGTTTTAACACAGAGAAAAGGGTGGTCATAAAAGTTTTTGAACTTAAATACCATGTCTACAGTTCTGATTTCTATAATCACAAATAGCAAAAAAGAAGACTCTGAAAGTGCTATTTCCAACGATCTAGAGACTCAAAATTTTCAAAATTTTCCTGCTCGGCGCCAACCGTGGGAGTCGGGTCCACTAAGTTTAACAAGCTTTCTACCCCCTGAGTGACCCAGTTGTGGTATTTACATAAACATACCATGCAAGTACACTTAACTGATCAGATTCGGTCTATCAACGCACAATATAACGCTGTATATCCAAAAATCTGTTAGTTCAGAAAATGCTCACATTTCAGTTCTAGGGGTGGAAAAATACAAAAAATTTGAGCCCCCTATTAGTACATACGATACCACACCAACAACCATCTGTCATCTCTCCACACTCAATATAGTATGGTCCCTTTTTGTAGATGCCCACACGCCAGACAAGTTCTTAAAAAACCCTGTGTTCAAATCATTTCGCTGTATGAAGACGGGTCATGGGTTAGGGTTATGGTAGGACAAATGTTGCATTGCAAAGTAGTAACACATAATATTTATTTTTTAATCATATATAGTTGAATCATATTCACCAGGGTAAAACATCATGAGCTAGATTAAACAGATTGTCCTAATATCTAACTTTACCTGCAACGCACACGTGTTTCATCGCTGTTAATTTTTCAATCCACACTGAGGTGGTCAGAAAAGTTTCTACTTTTATGAGGGGAGGCACAAAAGTTTGCCTTCAGTCTGGAGGGGGGGTCAAAAAAGTTTTCAATGCTTATTTTCCCCATTTACCAAAACCCCCCCACCCCCTCCCCTCCCCATAACTAATGACCACTCCCTAAGTTCTAGAAGTCGGAAATGTTTTTGTAAAGAAAAAAGGATTAAACGTAAAGGAATTGTTCAAATGAACAATTTAATGATGCTGCAGTTAGAGCTGTAGCCTCTGAGGTAGTTGTTAGAGTCAATATTATATATATAGTGAAGCTCAATACCGGACACTTCGCGAAAGATTGGGGGAGGACAAATAATAGGTTGCCAACATATGAACACTGTAGCTGGAAATCTTAGTTCTTTTAACTTTCTTGCCTTAAATTTCATGCAATATATATAGTTTCATTTATAGCCTACCAATGCTTTCATCAGTGCCTTTTTTAAGAAATTTTCACGGGGCAAAACAGAAAAAAAGGCAGAACGAAAATATGAGCCGTCGAGGTTTGGCAAACGCGCGACTGGCACGAGTCTGAAGAAAGATTTTGTAAAACTTTAATTTATTAACTTCAGCTATATTTTACTTTAAACAATAACTTCAACTCTTTGTAGCTATAATCGTACAGCTATAACCAGTGGCGTAGCCAAATCTTAATTTTGTGGGGGGCGAACCTCACGCCGATGGCTTTGTCTAGGAGGGTCCGGGGTCCGGAAAATTATGAAATCTAGGGTCCCTGAATTGCGATTTCATGCATTTTGGGGGTGAAATCTAGCAGAATTCCGAACATTATAAAGTACATCGAAAACAGGAATTTTTCCAGACATTTCTACTCGGAATTAAATAAATTGGAAAAGTCACCTTGAAAAATAGGAGTAATAATAATAATAATAATAATATAATTGTTCTTTAAAACGCATTATACATGAGTCTCAATGCTTTTTACAACAAGAATCTAAAAATCTAAAAACAGTTACTCAGTAAAAGCTATCCTAAAAAGATATGTTTTCAACTTTGCCTTAAACTCATCGATAGTTGGACTTTGCTTAATAGAGTCAGGAAGATTGTTCCAGAGCCTCGGAGCAGCGCAGGAAAAAGACTTCTCGCCATATGTCTCTGTTTGCACTCTAGGCACAGTTAACAAATTTTGACTGCTGGAGCGCAAAGTACGGGCAGGGATATGACGACGAAGTAGATCGGTGATGTATGAAGGGGCAATGCCATTAAGAGCTTTATAGGTCACCAAAAGGAGGTTGAAAGTCACTCGTTGTTGCACAGGAAGCCAGTGGAGATTAGAAAGTACCGGTGTTATATGCGCAGATTTCCTTTCTCTGACGACTAATCTGGCAGCAGTGTTTTGTAGCCTTTGCAACTTCTGTAATTCACAAGAAGGAAGGCCGTAGAGCACGCCGTTGCAATAGTCAAGTTTGGATGAAATAAAAGCATGAACAAGACTTTTGGTGTCCTTTCGTGAAAGATATTTTCTTATTTTGCCAATTTGATGTATTGATTGTGAAGCCGAACGACATATGTTATTAATATGCACTTTGAAAGTAAGGCAGGAATCGAGTGTAACTCCTAGATCCTTTACTTTGTTTACGGGTTGTACATCATGCCCTCCTACTTTGATGGGACGAAGAGAACAATCAGGTTTCATGTAACGTGAATAAAAATGAATTACTTCCGTCTTTGATGGATTGCCCATAAGCATATTGCAAGTGATCCAATTCATAACGTCGTCAATACAGGCTTCCAACTTTTCAGTTGCGATAATGCGGTTATTACGATTCAGAAAAATATAAAGTTGAGAATCATCAGCATACATCATGGCATCTATTTCATGGGACATGATCACATCTTCGAGGGGAGCAATGTACAAAGAGAACAACAATGGTCCCAAAACAGATCCTTGCGGAACCCCACAGCTAGCGAAACACGGTCGTGAAGAAACATTATCTACGACCACGCGCTGAGGGCGATCACAGAGGTAAGACTTTAGCCAATCCAGAACTACCCCCGAAAGACCATAACGATTACACAGCCTGTCAAGCAAAATGTCGTGATCAATTGTGTCGAATGCTGATGAAAGATCAAGTAACACTAGAACACATTCTTATTGATCATCAATCCCCCTCATTACGTCATTCACAACTCTAGGTAGTGCTGTCTCTGTACTGTGATGGATTCTGTACGCTGACTGCATCTTGGCATATAATTGATGATTTGTTAAGTAGGTGTCAAGTTGAGAAGCAACAATCTTTTCGAGTGTTTTGGAGAGAAATGCTAAATTTGAGATTGGCCTAAAATTATTAAATTCATCTCGATCTAATGACATTTTCTTGAAAAGAGGCCGCAGAAGAGATTTTTTCCATTTCGTTGGAAAAACTCCTTGTTCCAAAGATGCATTTATGATGGTTGTTATAGTTGGTAAAAGAACATCAATACAACTTTTGAGCAGAGTAGGGGTCAGTGTCACCTTATTTCCTCTCTGTGATGCCGGGGGGGATCCCAATGTGATTTTCATCAGAAATGTTGCATTTAAATCATTTTGGGTTCTATGAGACACCATTTCCGCATTCTAAAAATTGTGTTGCTTTTTCATACGATACAGAAATAAGTCTGGGAAGAAATATTCATGCTATGATGATGCGTACATGTATTTAACAGTTAAAAATCTAAACTAAATCTATTCTTTTTGGAACCACATCTACAACTGCTCTAACGAAATTTCACAAATCAAGTTCCTCCAGTATATCGTCTTTTTCCTCAGTCGAGACGTACTTAATCAGTTT